TGCCTGGCCCTCATCCCTGATTTCTGTCACAAGCACAAGCTTGTTTGTTTGGTTTTGGGTTTTATTTGGTACCAGGGATGGAACTCAGTTCCTTGAGCTTGCAGGGCAGGCAGCGATAATCACAAGCTTGTGCTGGGGCAGCTTCACACTGATAAAACTATATTCTTATGTTTCAGTAGTGATTTTTTTATTAAAAGAAAAAACTATTCAAAACACATGATAAGAAATTAAACTTTTATCAATACACAAGTACATTTACTTAAAATCAGCTCAGTCCCATATTTTAAAAAGTTCATAACCTCTTCACCGCAATGTCCATGGTCTAGAACAGGTTCAGGAAGCCTGCAGTCCTACTGGGGAACATCAACACGTGACGATCCAGGTCGTCGACACTTTCCTTTTGACACTGGGAGATGGTCACAAACAAAACCTTCCTTGCCTGGATGAGGTTGAAGATTCACATAAAAGCTTCATAAAATGTTTCAGTCTCGTTGAGCTCAGGCTGAACACTGATCAGGATTTCACGAACTTGTGGAGGTTTGTCAGTAGCATTTTTGCTTCTGGTATCATTAGGATAACAGTAAACTGAAATAAGCATCTAGAAGTAGACATATCCGATCCATAATCTGGTTCAGAGTTGGAGGATGTGTTCCAGGAAGAGTCTCATAGTAGCGTTCTTACTGCACTTCAGATAAAAAGAGGTACAAATACTGGAGAAACACAGTGATATCCTGCGCAGGGACACCCTTCAAGTGAGGCCCAAGAACTCTCTCACTCTACGCTGAATGAAGGATGCTGTTTAGCAGAGCTGCTCTCTTGGGTATCACAGGGCATGCGGCAGTCTCTTCTGTTGAAACCTGAGGCTTTTCATTTAGGTCCTGATTACAGTTACTGCAGTTGAATCTTCAGGATTGAAGCCATTTTGAAGAGTTTCAGGCTGCTCCTCCATTTTCTCATCTTGTTCAGTATTACTATAATCAAAAACCGGCCCCATATCGATGTTAATTCCTTGAAGACTGTCATTACCATTGCTCCAGGACATTTTTAAACAAGCGTACGTGACAGACTCAGGGAACTGCTGCAGACAGAGCTGTAGCAGCCACACATCTGTATTTTCTAAGGCAGTGTCCATTGTGCCAGGGCCCAAGCTGTAGGAAAGCACGTGAGTCTGGATAAGCTGCATCAGACAATGCTGGCGCTAAGATGATGGCTCTGCTTTCCGTCTGCCCAGGAGTCCTATTATTATGTCCCCAATTGCAGTATGAAAGTCAGGGGTCCACTTCGCCAAAAATGTACGTAGTTCTACTTCATTGTATTTTTCTGAACCATTCTTTATCGTTGATAAAGATCTGGCTGTAAAGTAGCTTCAATTTGTTTTTTTTTTTGGTCGCCTTAACTAGATCTTGAGTATGCTTTTCCAAGAGCACCAGCTAGTGATGATACTGCATACTAGTATGGAACCACAGACGTTTTCTGTGTAGCATAAACAGATTTTCCCCGTAAAACCACAGAGTGTGAGTCTTCATCCACCCTGCTCGCCAGATTTGGCACCATGCAATTTCCAGCTCTCCCCCAAAGACAAAATAACCATGGAGGATAGAATCAGAGTATCGAGGCAGCTACAACAGTGCCACTAAAGACACTCCACAAATCTCACATAAGTTAGCTAGTATTTACATGCCCTCTGTGAATCGTGTCTATATGTTCTGTTTAATGAAAGAGGAGAGCAAAGGGGAAAAAGAATGATAGTATAAACTAGGAATGAGAGTAAATAGTGTTTTACTAATTTGGGCGAAAAACAAATGAGTTTTCTTGCTCCAGTAGTGGACTCTGTTGCTTTGGGAAAGGCCCACAGCTTTTCTGTGCTAGGAGATGTCTCTCATCATTTATTGCTTTCCGGGAAGCAATAAACCACTGCCTCACCCTTATTTATGTCTTAATCACATTGTGTTACCCAGAGAGATAGCCACAGGCTACCCAAGATGCTGGCATGGGACACACAGCAATCCAGGACGGCAGCCAATCAGCACGTCCCGAATTTGTTGCTTTTGATGGCATCTGCAAGGCCATCGAGGCTCTCGTGTTGGTAGCATTGAAAGCTGTCATCGTGGCGCCCATACTGATTCCCAAGGCCAGCTTTTTGGAAGTAGTGAAGCTATGAGAAACCAAAGGCCAGGGAGAGAGTTTCTGAATGGAGAAGAGAAAGGTGTTCCAGAGGTCAGAGGCAGCAAACCAAAGTCTGTGGAGTCCGGTGTAGGATGATTGGATTAAACAGGGACCACTGACAAGTTCGTGAACTACTGTGTAAGCCAGTGACTTCTGAAGTTACACTTGGCCAGACAAACTCCATTTGTCTGTGGTCAGAGGATGAAGGAGACAGGTGGCACCACCACATGCTGCTGGGTAAAGGAGCCCCACCGAGCACTGCTGTACTAGAAAAGGTATAGGATCCAGCAGGTTTCTCTCTGGTAATAACTTCCCCAGACATTCCTACGCCTGCACATCATGACTGCTCAACATCTGGTTTTTTTACTGTTGCAAAAAGTTTCATTTTAGTTTCTGACACTGTGTGTTTCAGATTTTCTAAATAGTTCACATTCTTTCTTCTTTGCAAGCAGCTGCAGTGGGCAGGTTGCCTGTTTCTCAGGGGATGATGACATTGTCTGTGTAGGCCTTAACTGTTACATGGGACATTCACAATGGATGAAAAAAGCAGATGGCCTTTGTTTTATATGTTTAGGAGAATATTGTGACCCACAGCCATATATCTAGGGCTGAAGAGAATAGCAGGGGAATCACTTCTCAGTCTTTTGGCTAAGATCAAGTGTAGAGAATAGCAGGGGAGAACCTAAAGTAAGACCCCAAAATAAATCACTTTTAAGGATTTCACTCTCCTTTCTCTGGAAGAATGCAACAGTTTTGCAGTATGTGTGTTTGTACCCTTAGAGTGAAATAGAAGTTCAAGTAAAAGACAGACTTAGGGCAGAAAAGCTATGAGCAATCAAATGGCTTAAAGCCATTTATGAGTTGTTTGGTTTTTTTTTTAAGGACAGATTTTTATAGGGGTTGAAGCATTTTAAATATATTTAAGCAGCTTAAATGGCTGCTGATGTCACCAATTCTAGTGATTAACAGTCAACATCAGATTCATTAACTTTCCGTTTTGATATTTCCTACCAAAGATATCTTTTATGTGTTTTAAGGAAGCTTGAGATTCAATTCAATATGTTTTTAACATAAATAAATACATATATTATTGCTCATATGAAAATCCCAACGCAGAATACACCAACATCTAAAAATTATTGAATGTCAAAATGCTATTTGGAAAATCTCATAACTGACCTCATGTGACAGATTACAGTCAAAACACAGGTGTGCTAAGAATACTGTAGGAAATTACCTTTGGCTCTGGACATACGATGTATAGAAACATAAATGTTATGTGTAGATTTGGGTCCCCTTCCCTGGGTATCTCACTGTGTATATGCAAGTATTCCAAAATTTTATGATCCAAATCTGAAACACTTCTAGGCCCCAAGCGTTTCTGGTGAAAGATACTCCAATGATTACCTGTGAATATTTAGTATTATTTGCTAGACGATCACATGCTGCTAAATGTTTCCATAACTATCTTATTTAATTCTAACGAAAAACCTAGAAGCATTCATAATAATTTCCTCTTTTGAATCAGGGAGTCAGATATTTATGCAATTCAGGTGATTTTCCTAAGTTATAAGTGGCAGAACTAGGTTCAAACTAGTTGAAGTCTCCTGGCACCAAGAGCCAAACTTTATTCCTTTCATGTTTATTAATTAATAGCTGTGCAGAAAGAAAAGGATCCGAGACTCATCTAGTGTTTACACACACAGTGGCATCTGGGTCTTGTGCAAAGGAAGTTTCACTTAACAGAAGCCTGGTCAGGAAATTCAGTAATCACACTTTTTGGGCTGTCCAACATCATAGCCACTAGGCACAGGTGGCTATTTAGATATTTAAATTTAATTAGAATTC